CCTACCCGCCGATGCCGGTCGCTTCTACTTTTCGCGGATGTTGTCGGGGGGGAGGGGAGGCGCTCTCTCTGGCATGGGTTAAAATGGCGAGTACAGGATGGGGGTGAGGAATAGAGGAGGGAGGGGGTGTCTCTCTCTCTCTCTCTCTATCCACACAGGCGCCGTCTATACCGACCCCCATCCAAAAAAAATGAGTTATCGTCCTGGATCTAGGAGCGTGGTGATTGCGATCGCGCCGGGATTTCCCCGGCTTCCCGTTGTAAAGTGCGCGCGATCAACGGGGAAATTATAGGATTTTGCTATTGCGGCGAATTAAATACGACATCGTGAGTTTAACTTGTGCACGCTCATGGGGAGAAGGAAGAAGAGACTGCGATATGACGCTACTATGTGCATAAATCGTCATAATAGTTTTAACATCAAGTAGCACGAGAGTAACGAAGATTTTTCAATCAGTCACATCGTGTCAATATATTTTGGGTATTCATGACTGCCAATTATTCGAAAAACGGCTATAATGTTTAAATTATTGTTGAAAAATCAAAGAATATATAAGATAAAATATAAAATTATACATATCATAACAAATAATTATTATATTATATAAAATATAGAGAAAGCAGCAAAATTTGACACATTATTATCGCATTTCGTTGAATAATCATCGAATAATTATAATTATAAAAAGTTTTAAATTATAAAATTTTTTATTTATTTCAAACATATATTATATAATATATTTATATATCTCTTTCTCCTTTGAACAATATGTTTGATGTACCAAAGGTGGGACGATTTTCTGTAAATTAGATGGATAAATAAAATAAATAAAATATAATCGATTTCGTCGTACTATGCGTGTGATCGAAAAACCCAGACAATCCTACGTCTAAGCAAATGTTAAGACTATTATGCCGGTTTGTGTATACAACCGATACAAGAATCTTTGTTTCCTTAGGGAACGTTCATCTCTTGGATGAGCCGTGCTGCGACAATCCGAAAGAATCATTCCCCGTCCTCGGGGAAAATAGATGAATTTCCCGACATGGTCTAGCCGAAAGTAGTATTCGAGATCCCGGGTCCACGCGCGCGTATCAAAGCAAACTTGAGTCGACAGCCGCTGTGGGCCGCGATGAGGTCGAGGCGCGATCGAGGGGAAACAACCCCAACTAATTTGCAGCCGACCACCGTCTCGGGCAAACAAGACGCCGGTTCCTTCGTCACTTATTCCCGTATGGAGTTCGATGGCGCTATTGACGCGTCTAGAAATCGGGGATTTCGGATGACAATGCCGCCAGGGCGGGGGAGGGTGAGTGCATCGTGAAAGAGTGGGAAAGAGGGGTCGAGGGTAGGCGACGAGGCGTCCCCCGGCTTGGCGTCCGACGGGTAACGCGTCCCGCCCTCCCCAACCTTCGTCGCCGCGGCGGTGCCAGAAGAAGTATTCCTACATTGGTGGTCGTCGTCGTCTCCGTCGTCGTCGACATCACCGTCGTCGTCGTCGTTGCCATCGTCTTCGTCGCTCGCAGCCGATGGCGGCGGCGGCGGCGACGTCGGCGACGCCGCTCCACGCTTGGCGTCGAGGTTAGCGCCGGCCGGTCGCTGGAATCGGCGCCTGGCTGTCTCTCTCTATCCTTCTCTCTCCCGCACGCTTTCGTCTGTCTGCACGGGGGAGAGCCAGTCGTCGTTTCATCGTCGTCGTTCGTTCGTTCGTTCGACGGCGACGACGTGGCTCTGCCTGCCAGCCGGCTGTCGCCGTCGCCATCCGCTCGTGCGCGCGACCCCAACCCTTCTCGCTCGGTTTCCGGCACCCTGCCCGCCGCCGATCTATTCCACGACGGTGGATGCGTTTAGGGTAATGAAACGCCGCTTCGAAAAATTGCTCGCGCTTAAACGCCGCCACGGTACGTACCCCGCCGAGCGCGCCGCCGCCGTCCGCGATATCCGTTTAGCGCGAGCATTGAAATTACCGCCGATGCGTCATACGCGCGCCCTGCCGCACGTATAACCGCCGGCAAATAACATTCGGGAGATTACAATCGACCTGAGTCGAATCGGCACGCTTGATTTCGACCAGCTTTTGAAGAGCGCGGGGGAGATTCGCGGTCCGCGGTTTCAGATTTACGAGGCGTATCAATCCCCGTTGCTCTTTCCGCTCTTGATCACTTGTGACCGATAGCGCGATGCTTCCATCGGGGGCAAGCGACGTTTAACAGATTAACTTTGACTTTTCCCTCAACTGAATAATCACGTGTTTAAGTGTTCCGCACTGAAAAAAAATGCTCTATTCAATTAAATATATGTTAAGGAGTATTGGAGTAATTATTTTGCTTGGATTATGTAAATATTACTGGAATGCAGCACTTTTTTCTTGCAGTGTGCTACATTCAAGCAACAAGTAAGTTTACTTAATTCAAGTAAAATAATTAAACTGTAATACTTTTTACTAAATATTTAGTGGAATGCAGCAGTCTTTTCTTTCAGTATGTTATATTCGCATTATTATATATCACTTCGAGAGTCGGAATTTATTATAGGTTTTAAGTCTCATTTTTTTATTATTCACATATCTTATTTTGTATATCTCTGGAGCCATACTTTATATTTCCTTGTAAATAAATAAATAAACACATTTTTATATATATTTTTTTTTATTTAACGGAACAAGGTTAGCCGAGTAAGATCGATGCTTTAAAGTTGCTTTATCTATGAGCGATGATATGTCGTTTCGATCGAAAAGACAGAGAGAAAAAGAGAGAAAAAGAGAGAAAGAGAGAGAGAGAGAGAGAAAATGACGTAATAGAAGAATAGATTCTTTTTTACATACCTCTTCTACTAACGATAAAATCGAGACTATAATGAGACCGAATTCCGTGACGGAATACCGAGCCAGGTCGTCATAACAAACAAGCCACCAAACCGACGTTGCCGCAAGCCGTTGGCGTAATTAGATCACGATCCTGCGGCGCGTAAGAGAAACCGAACGAGGATCGTTTCGTGGCCGAGGGCCAGCCAGGTAATGGGACCTTGCTGAAACCGTGACGCGAGTCGAGCGGCGGCGAAAGGATTCGCCCGATTGCTCTTCCCGTTGATCGTCTTCCGTCATCATAGCCTGCGAATCGCCGACCCTCCGAAACTATCCGGGTTATGTTTTATGAAGGCAGTCGCGGTCTCGGCGCCGCTATCGGCGGCGCGTACGCGTTCCTTCTCTCTGATCTCTCACTCGCTCGACGTCTTCTCTGGTGCCGGTCCGACGTGGCGTGGCGTTCCTTTACCCAAACCATTATCCGTATGCCGCACGATTATAGGGCAACGGGACCGACAAACAGGCGTGGGCTAGATCCATAGGCGCCTGTGAGAAGGGACGTGCGCATTTTTCGTTCCCATGGAAATTTATCATGCAATAACCCGTTAATAAAAAAGGAATTCCTCGAGCGATTCTTTTGATAAAACGAAAAAGCAAGAGAAACGACGGATGAAGATCGATGCGAGCAAAATTAATCAGACATTCTTCGGGGAAGCTGAAAAATCGGCTGAATTCAAATCGGGTTTCGATATTAAGAATTCGTCGGATTTTCATACGGATTTCTATGCGATCGCAATTATTTACGATTATGATCTGGTCGAAAATATTTCCTCCGCGAAGTAACGAGACTGGTATCGATCTCGTTACCTCGATGGAAAGTTTTCAAAACGGAGGCTCGCAGTTGCCTCTTCCCGAGAAGAATGCCACTTTTGGCGCCCATGGCACGGCACCCCCGGCGTAGACGTTCCCCGCCCTACGTGCGCCGGCACATACGGGCCTCAACTACGCAAACAAACTCGCGCACACTGCGTGTACCGGCTAACAATCTGCCTCTCTCCGGCCCTCGTCGTTTGCAACGCGCTACCAGGACCATCGCCAGCAACCCCGGCGCTTGGATCTCCGTCAGGCCCTTTATCTTTGGAGTATTTATGCCTCAGGCAAAGTGCCGAGACTCTGCCTGCACCCTACTTAAATAAAAAAGGAAAGAGAGAACGCAAAATAAGGCGATGTATAATGTACAGCTGTGAGGCGAAGGAACTCGCTTAAAATCACCCCGATCGTTTCGCGTGTGTGTAACTTCATAAAGTGCTTTCCATTTAGTGACACCAGTCGACACAAGTGTCGTCCTACCTTCGTTACTTATCGGAACAAAAACAATATGAACGTTTTCACCTCATGATATAAATCAGATCTTAATGTATACTTGAGACTTAAGACTGTTCTTGAGTTGGGTTCATCCTTAGATACTTCGTAGCCAATGAAGCGACCCGTGCAATCTGAAGATAAACTTGAAACGATCTGAAATATAAGGCTTGACTCTTATAAGTCGGAAAAGAAAAACCGGAAGTTGGAGTTACTGGACCGGGACTCGAAACTTTTCGCTCGCCGGGCGTCGGCTATTGCCACTGATTCCTACTCCGATGTATTCACTTTCGTCCTTTCACGTGATATTGTTGTCTCAATTTTGAAATAAGACAAAGAAACTATCATTATAAAAACATGCAATAATTCAATTTAATATTATAATCTACTTTCCCAAGAATAAGGTATATTCAAATAAAGATAATATAATTTCAAGTTAGAGAAATTGTAATTTTTGGTTTTGAAGATATCATTCTCCTCTGCCTGATATTCTTTACTCTCGGTTCAAGAAAATTATTCTTGAATAGTGAGAATATTTCCACCTCGGCAATTTCCCGGGAAAATCCCTTTCCTCGACGACGGAGTCGCTTCCGGATCGAGCACGCTCGCGCGGGCCTTTCGTTCACCTTCGACGACGAGCTGCGTTATCCGGCAAGACTCTCCTCCTCGGATAACCCGGCGCACAGCTGGACGCGACAGGTGCGCAGGTGACACACCTACACGACGTCGATAAAGTAGCTCTCGCGCGATATCCGCCTACCTGACGATGTTTTACCTCAGGCTGATGCCATGCCGAGAGAGAGAGAGAGAGATAAATGTCCGGAACGTATCGCCCGTCGCGCGCGTCCAGCTAACAATTTCCAGCCGGATCCGGCGACGGCGCGTTATGTAACGACACAGGCCAGCCTCGCTCGCTGTGCGGAAAGCGCGATAAGATTACTCCTGGCAGGTCACGTTGCGTACGCGCGAAACAGCGCGTAACGTAACGACCGCGGCCACGACGACGGCGACGGCGACGCCTGGCCGCGCCGAGGATGTACGTGGGCCACGCACAGCCCGGCGCGTTCTCTCGCACTTAGTTCCTCGTGTAGCAGCGCGCAGACACGCTGATCCGCCGCGAGCGAGTGTTGTCACGACGGTGGTGGTGCGCGTGTCTTCCCACCGACGATCCCCTGCGAAGAGAGCCCGCGAGGATCCCACGTAGACAGCTGTACGCCGCAGACCGAGAGACCATGGACGCGGAGCCGTCGGCGGCGACGTACTTGGGCCTGGATCTGAGCACGCAGCAGGTAAAGTCGCAGATAAGGCTTCAGTCGGAGCCACGGCGATTGATAAGGGGTCCGGCGCGTCCGAACCGGTACGAAAGTTCGAGTTATACAGTGTGCGTGTGTATGTTGGTTCCTCACGTTCGGTGACTGCGTCAACGTGGGTCGGCACCGCCGTTGGCTTCGCATTACCCGTCCAGACGGCGGCGGCCGAACGTCAGGTGCGACGAGAGACGTTTTTCAATACTTCACGCGGGATATGATGGATACTGTGGATACTCCGAGATACAAGCATTCGGAGAACGCCTTGAAGAATTGACGGATGCGCGTTTGCGTTTGTCTAGATAGATAATCCTGGGTCGGAATAAATCATAGGGCGGACGCGTGACAGCACCCGCTCGAATGTCGGGGATCAGAAATTTTTCATTTTCTGGTTAACTCGTGGTTTAAGATTGTGTATATAACCTGATGATAACGTGTTTTTCTATTCATGGTTGATCGTGAAATTTTACAAGTTTACCACGATTTGTAGAACTGATACCGTCGGTTCGATGATTAAAGGTGGATAGAAAAACAAAAATTTTTGCATTATCAACAGTTTAAGTCTAAGCCACGAGTTAGCCAGACAATGAAAAGCCGAGCCTTAAAGTATGTAAGTATGTTTATTCGCGGAAGAGGAAGAGAGAAACATAAACAGCACGGTCGACAACACCCGATCTCAGACAGCAACGGTAAAAGTTCCGCGGTTGTTGTCGCCGCGGATGTAAGACCGTCAGAGGTCAACAACTCGGTCGATCGACCGACTGAACGATCCGGAGATTTACGCAAACATCCGAGAGAAATCGACCAGGGTACTTTGATCCTTGGGATACTTATAAGTTATTTGTCTGTCGTTTCGTATTTTTCCTCGATTCTTCGCTGACTTGAGCAAGGCAGGCGGGAAATGAAGAATCATGAGAACGCGGGTCGTTAGGATCCACGATAGATGTAATAAGCCTCTAGCCTTTTGCTTTGAGCGCTATATTGTAACGTAATTTCTAGTCAAGAGCGTTTCCAGCTCTATCAAACGTTGCAATTCCAAAAATTTTAGCGTTATTGCGATTTTTAGCAGCGTGGGAAACGCCTTTCGTGAGAAATTACTTACATTTATTGTTTAAAGCAAAAGGCTGAAAGCTTATTACACCTATCGTAACTTGTTTATTTTCGTATTTTATTCACAAAGCAGTCTCTGCAGGCGAGAAAACTTTTCTATATTTATTGTACCAAAGGGAAATTTTCCTCTGTGAACTCAAATAAATAATAATAATAATGATAATGATGATAATAATAATTCACAACGATCCAGGAACGTGAGATGTATATTTCTGCATCCGTAACGTTAAAAATTGTTGTCGTGAGAATTTGGCATGCCGATTATTTCTCTTCCGGTGAAAATGAGATCTTTCGTAATTAAGAGTCGCGGGAGAATTTCCAATTAGGCTCGTGACATTCAACTCGCTGGATATTCGTAATTACATCGAACCGATGCACGCGATACAGATTTTATTTCCTTGAAACGGTATTACCGAAGAAATTACTGGGAAAAGAGGAGCGAGCGTGTTGCGCGGCCGTAATACTAATTGGTTCTGTGAGAATATACGGAACATTTCATCCAGTACGTCGTATTTTATCGTAACATTTTGTCCCAACATTCAGCCGATCTGTTCGAATTGACGAAAATAAAGAAGCCCGGACAGATTTCCCACTTGTCCAAGTGTTTCTTTGCTTAACTCCATTTCAATTTTAATTCACTGAGTGCACACGGAGGAGAAAAAACTCGGATCGTCTAACTGATTTCTGGGCACTAAACTCGTTGGTAGGAATACAAAGGTTCTCGCCGGAGATTTCTATCCAGTCGACTGTTTTTAATATCTCAGACAGGTTTTAATGCAGCTGAGAAAATGTTCAGGCTGATGTTTTTGATCGCGATAATTTTTTCTCGTCACCGAGTTTTCTTCTGATTTTTACTATTTTTTTCTGTTTAATTCAATAACAAAAAGATTCCTATAGAAGACTTTTCTTTCTTTCAGTCAATTATCCTTAGTTTTAATCAAGGTTTGATGCAGCTGAATGTTTACATGAATGTTTTCGATTGCGGTAACAGAGATATTGTTTCTTGTTACTGAGTTTTCATCTGGTCCTTATTCAGTTGCAGAAAATAAGTTTTCCTTCTGTATATACACAGCAAAAAAAGATTTCTTTGTATTTAATGAAATTTCTTTTATTGAAACAAATTTATTTTGGGGAGTCTTTAGCAAACAAATGTTTGATTCAACAAATAAGATTGTTTGGTTTCTCAAATAATATATATTTTAACGTCAAATAATATATTCTTTAGAGAAATATTCTTTCGTATTTTTAACCAAGCATTAGAACAGTTGTCATAAGTAATAAATTATTTGAAAGAAACAAAACATTAAGTTAGACAAATTTTAAAAAAACTTAAAAAACTTCTTTATATTTCAGCGAAACAATATTTAATATATAATGAAATACATTTTTTTTATTGAAAACCAAATATTATTTTCTCTAAATAATACTGATATTTGATATTAAATTATATTGTTTATATTAAACAAGTCAACTCAAGTGAAACAAACACGTATATCAAATCCAAAGAAACTTTTTTCTCTGTATACAAACTCAGTGAGTGCAAATATTAAAATAATCGAGATAAATAATAAATGAGATCGTTAGTTATTTTACTTCTCGGTTCCGTCTCCGGTTGCGAAGGTAACAGTCGCGTACAAGTGTGTTCGCGAGTCTCACTTGCTCCGGAAATACAGACGACACACCAGTTTTCTCAGCGCGCGTGTCACGCGTTTTAAAATATATTCGATACAACGATACGCCGTCGTCGCCGTCGTCGCTGTTTCGCAAGGTATTCGACGGTTCTACGCAGAAAACACGAGCGAGCAAGTCGAGTCGGGGCTCTGCGAGGCGCTCTGACGTCTATTCGCCGGGTCACTATTATCTAATAGCGCGATAACACGCGCCGACAGCAGATACGCGCGAAGGGAAGCGCTATCTTGCGAAGCGGCAAAAGTGCGACGCGATAAGAATATTGAGCCCCGATAATTAATATCGCGAGGCACTTTGACGTATTGTCGTAAAAATGTGTGAGAGAGAGAGAGAGAGTGTGTGCAAGAATCAAACATATAAGCACCGCGTTGCACCAGCGCGATAATATAAATAGCGGCGTGTTAGTGTACGTCTCTCTATTGCACTGTTACGCCACAATATTATTGTCGTTTATCTGAACGCAGAGTTACGAGAGATATTTTCGAGAGAGACCGCCTGGGCGATGCGTGCATGTGTATGTTTGAACCGATCGATTACGATCATCTGTGGATTCACAAACGAGAAAATAAACGAACGATCGGATAATAACACTGCAACGTAGATTTATTTTCAAAATTTTCGTTCAATCCCCTATGAACATAAATGCGGATCCGAAAAAGCGTATCTCGGCCGCTTCGTAAAGTACCTCTCCCTTCATTGAGTTCGCGTTTGATCTAATTTTAGCTGAAAGCGGTAGTGGTTGACTGTGATCTCGCCGTGCTTCACGAGACCAGCGTGCAATTCGACAACGATCTGCCTGAATTTAGGTATGTACGTGAGTGATAAGAATTTGGCTCGATATTCATCACTGTGTTATATGCGAGTATTCAAACATTCCAGAACTTATGGAGGGGTCATACAGAGCAAAGAGGAGCCTCATGTCGTGGCGGTGCCTTCTTTGATGTGGGTGAAGGCCTTAGATATGATACTCGACAAATTGCGCGTATGCGGCGTCGATTTCAGCAAAGTAGCGGCCATTTCGGGATGCGCACAGGTAAAACGCTCTTTAAATTTCGCGGAGTGAAACTCATCGCTCGCAAAACGAGTGAAAATTCACTCGGAACGATAATGAAGAAGAAAATATCGTCACTCGAAATTGCAAGATTACACCAGACGTTTTTCTCATGTATGAGAGAAAAGTCACTCCACTTCGCACTCCACTCGGCTGTTACTCTGCTTTTCGAGCGGAATTTCACTCGAAGAAATTTAGAGAAGGCAGCTGCGATACTTCACGTAGGATCGATTACTCGCCAAGATTCTCAGAGGAGCAGCGCGTAATAGCACATTGTGTATCTTAATGATCGATTAGCAACACGGCACGGTTTATTGGAGCAAAGGCAGCCGAGGTCGCTTGCAGCGTTTGGACCCCATAAAATTCTTGCACGAACAATTCGCCACGTCATTTTCCGTGACCCATTCGCCCGTGTGGATGGACTCCAGCACGTCCAAGGAATGTAGCGTTTTGGAGGAGATCGTGGGCGGCCCTCACGTAAGCATCCCGTCGTACACGCTGAAGCGAGATACACAAACAAGCGGGTCTAATGTGTTGAAGTTCCTGTAAACTCAAACACGATAATTGCTTTGGCATCGGCATTCGCGACGGCTTATTTTTCGCGGCGTAGAGTATCGCGAACGATCGACGGTTGTAACTAATGGGAGAGAAAAAGGAGAGAGGAATGAATTAGCCAAATATTTGAAGTAGCCGCCTTGGACTCGCGGCATTGTATACGAGGCGAAAATCCGTCGACGATATTTATCCTAGCGGAAGCTTGCGGATGATTTCAGAAATTAGCGGAAATAACGGGCTCACGGGCGTACGAAAGGTTCTCGGGGCCGCAGATAGCGAAAATAGCGCGCACCAAGCCGGAAACCTACTGCAACACTGAGGTATACCCACTAAAAACTCCTGGCTTTCTTCGAAAAAAAGAAACCAAATGAGAACGGCAATCGAGCGATTCGAGGTATTCGTTGTGTTAGCGAATTGTAGTTGTACCGATTGAAAACTTCTCTACTACTACACGGAAAACAAACTCGATTCCTGCAACTGAATAGGGACCAGATGAAAGCTCGGTGACAAGAAATGACACGTCTGTTATCGCGACTAAGACATTCGTGTGAACATATTCGGCTGCGTTAAAACTCTGGACGTTAAAACTGAGGGCGATTGATTGAGTAGAAACTTCCGAGATAGACATATCTCGGTATATTGTCTGCATCGTAACTAACATAACTACGTAAAGATGCGTTCTCATATAACAAATATTTCGTCAGTATATAAAAGAAGATTGTCTAATGTTATGAAAATTGTGGCAATATCGCAATGATATTTTGATGTTTATTGCCGTAAATATTGCTGCTTATTTTGCCCAAAAGACAACGCAATTAATCCGGAATTGTTGCAGTAATAAAAAGTCAATAGTTTGGTTTTTTGAAAATTATAACATAATAAATGAGTATTTCTTAAAACAAGCACATTTTAAATATATCGCTGTTGCAATGGCATCACAAAGTATATATTAAATGTTTGCATATTATGTTCATTTCTATTTATCTGGGCTCCTACAAGATTCTTTCTGTTTCTACAACCGAGTTTTCGTCTGGTCTCCAGGCAAAAAGTTCAGTTTCACCAGCGGAATGGTTTTTTTTTTCGTATACTATTACTACTATTACTGCTCTACTAGTGTGTGCCACTTTTCTGAGCGTGTCGTTTGATTTTGCTAAATTTCAGTGTGTGCGTGTGGACTCTACTACTATGGTGAATTTGTCGCAACAATCAGCAGCCAAGAGTTCGTTGCACAAATTCACCTCCTTGCGACGCGCAAACAAACAAGCGTGTCGAGAACAAACACGCGATTACACAGGCAGTTCTTTTCGACTAACCGGGTGACAGTTCGCAGCGTAAAAAATCCTCTTCCGACGTAACCGTGTGATTTAATGCCTCTAATTATATCTCGATGATCAAAGCGTGCGTCACGCGCTCGCTTTGTGCCGCATCCGAAACGCGCGCTAACCGAGTGCCATCATTGCCGCTCACGCATTTTGTCCTTTTCCGCACACAGAGGATCTCGTTGGTGAGCAACTTCCTCGCCTCCTTGTTCCTGGGCGATTACGCGCCGATCGATTGGTCGGACGGATCGGGCATGAATCTGTTGAATATCCGCACAAAAGACTGGGACGATATGTTGTTGGAGGTAAAATTACGAGTCGCGAGGTAAAACAGCTCAACGAGCAGTGTAACTATGTTAAATGAGATTTTCTAGCCGTACACATCGTCGATTTATATAGTTGGAAGTAACCGTTATGAGTGAAAATTACATTACGCGTTATTTTTTTTCAGTAACGACTTGGTAACGGTTTTATTTTTTAGTAACGGTAACATGATTACACTTAACGATAAAGAATATGATCGTTACTTTTATCAAACACGTGCACTAGATGGCAAAAAAATAGCAAAACAGATTTTCAAAACCCACTAAAAAAGTGTAACGAATATTGTAACGATTTGTCATTTTTAGGTAAGTAACGATAACAGTAACGAGTTATTTTTTTCAATAGGTAATAAATAATAATAACGAGTTACTTTTAGAAAGTAACTTCCCTGTTCAATTATTTAATCAGTTAAATTTTAATGGATTTGTCATTTATTTCTTATTCCTAAATAAACAAGAACGACACAGTTGATCACTGTGATAACTTTGCGTTAATGTTTTGAAATGGACGGTTATAAAACATTAGTAACCTAATTACACTGCGCGTTAAGGCTACTCCTGTTAATGCACACGCTCGCGTGTGTGTACTTAGCGTGGGCTGTGTTTAACATATTACGTGTTCGGCAGACTTGCGCATCGGGACTGAGGGAGAAACTGGGAAAGTCTGTCTCGTCATGCAGCAACATCGGCCCGATATCACCTTATTTCGTGGAGAGATTCGGTTTCAACGAGGAATGTCGGATAATCATGTTCACCGGCGACAACCCAAGTTCCTTGGTGGGTATGTAATGTCACGCGTATATATAGATATATATATCCGGTGATGGTTTCCGCTAATATTAGGAATTTTCCATTAGAACAATTACTCTTACGATGATAAATGATACATAGGTATGAGGCTGAAACAAGGTGATATCGCTTGCAGTTTGGGCACGAGCGATACCTTATTCCTGTGGCTGAACGAGCCCAAGACCACAACGGATGGTCACATATTGTGCAATCCTGTGGACGATCAAGCTTATATGGCGTTGCTTTGGTAAGGGATCTCAAAACGAAATTTGGTTAAAGTTGCAATTCTACAACGCAGTAGGAGCTGTGACAGGAAAATAGGTTCAAGTTTAGTTCATCATGATTAATAGCAGGAATAATTATTATTAAAATTGAACCTATATATTTGCTATGTTAGCTCCTCCACTATGTTGTAGAGTTAAAAGTTTAATATAGGGCCGAAACTTCGACTCAGAATGCGTTTGAGCAGTCACGGTAACGATACAGAGAGGACGACGACGACGACTTATGATTATTATATTTTTGCTTGCGCAGCTTCAAGAATGGTTCTTTGACGCGCGAGAGAATACGGAATGAAACCGCGCAGGGCTGCTGGCGAATATTCGACGAACTGTTGGAGAGCACTCCGCGAGGGAACTTTGGAAACTTTGCTCTGTACTTCGATACGCAGGAAATCCTACCCTTCGTGATTGGGGATTACAGATACAACAAGGCCAACGATGAGATTTCGCGATACAGTTCGAAGGAAGTGGAAGTGAGAGCGCTGGTCGAAGGTCAATTCGTCGCGAAGAGAGCGCACGCCGAGGACTTCGGATTTGTCATCGGTAAGTAATCTTTTCCTTACAGACCCCGTCGTCGCTGCCTTTGCATCGTTATATCGTGACGAATTTAAGTTCTCGTTTCTGTTTCCTTGCATAGGACCTAACACGCGAATAATCGCAACGGGAGGCGCTTCCGTCAACAAGGCTATATTACAAGTTCTCGCTGACGTCTTTAATTCACCGGTCTATGTCTTGGTAAGTACATAATATTTTTTAGGGAACAAGACGTCTTTCAGGGATATGTTTAACACATAAGATTAAAAATCGCAGAAGCAACTCTAGTTATAATGGTAAGATTATAATTATAATAGTAGGCTTTAATTATAATAGTTTCAACCTTATATGTACATGTAAGTTAAAAATTGTGTAATAGTAAAAAGTTTCAATCTGGGGAATGGCATAGCATATATGACACCAACCGTACGGGAAATAAAGAGATACATTCATAAAATGATGCTTGTGATTGATTGAAGAAATTTGTGAAACATTCCAAAAATTGTTCTTTTGCTCTAAAATCAAGTCAATAGTCATAAAATTAACGCGATATACAATATATTTCTAAACTGGAGTTTGTCACGTTAATTTATGTTAATATGAAGTTATTACTTTAACTTAATATGAAGTAATATATTTTGGGATTGCTTTTTATTCTTATCGAACACGTTGCAATCTCACGATAGGAAGCAGCTAATTCGGCTATGATGGGTGCAGCGTATCGAGCAAAACATGGTTTGTTGCGGGATAAGTGCAATTTTGACGAGATTATACGTTGCTTGCCGGAATTGACTCTTGTGTGCCAGCCTTACGACGACGCTGAATTTGTAAGTAAAAAAGAATCCGATTTCTCGTGACCTGTTTGTCATAATTGACGATTTCTCAACCGACGCTTTCAGATCTACAAACCTATGACAACACGTTATCGCAAAATTATGGATCAGATATTGAAGAAGAGAAGCGAGCAGAAACATATGTAAATTTTGTAAATAATAGGAAGAAATATTCTAAAGAAAGGCTTTTTACGTAATATTCCAGACGACATAATGTCCAAAATCGGAACATAAGATATCTTAAAGACGTTGTAATCCCGGTCTGTAATAGCATTTTAAGCTTTAAGACCTGAGAAATTTACTAATTACAGTTGATTATTGTCCTCACATTCGACTGTGGTCAATTTCTTAAGGCTTAAAATACCTTGGCTGCGTTCAGCAGAAAAAGTAACTCTTGTAAAATTCGTGAATTTGATTAGTGTGTGCATTTAATTTTGGTTGAATCTAAGAATATATACCTATCAGATTCACGAATTTTACAAGAGCTGTAAAGCTGCTTTTTCTGCTGAACATAGTCCCTATCGGGGACTTACTTATAGACGACTTAAGCCCCAATTTTAAACATTATGTTGTCCGGAGTTCCTTAAAGCGAATATATATCTATTAAACGATAGACTCGCTTCGCTCCTCGATAGATATGTGATGGATTTTTCTATGCATGTTTTTAAATTATTTAGGATATTGAAATTTATGATATACTTTACTAACGCGTATCTCCTACTCACGAAAGCATTTTATACGAGAATCTCTCGTGCATTTTGTACGAATATATATCTTCATTTTAGCGCATTAACTGATATCGTAATAATATATTATCTCATGCATTTATTTTTCTAAAGCCTTAATAAATTGACTATTCCAATGTATAATAAAAGTGATCGTAGGTGAAGCATTTGAAATTATTCGACAATTATACGGGCAATTCGGTAAAATTTAATAATCTGTTTTTTTTTGTTACACTGTTGAACTGGTGTGATAAGTTCGAGTGAGACAAGTATATTTTCTTTCGCTCGAACTTATTGCACCAGTTCAACAGTGCAGCTGAAGAGAACAGAAAATCATAAAAATTAACGATATGCTTCACGCTTTAGATGATGAGCTCTATCATTGTACAAACGTCGCAGGATTAAAATATACGCACTACGAAAGAAAAATCGAGCTTAAATTATAACGAATCATATTTAATTTTATATAATATTTATTAATTTATATTAAATTTACTTTGTTATGTATAATTATCCTAAATGATTACATGCGGGTTTTTAATAAATGCTATATATATTTTAATTACATATTCTATTTTTTCCCGTGCTCTCTCTAAAAGATTATTGTAATTGTGTGTTATTATAATTATTACACGTCAAATTATTATATGACCTCTACTCATTTATTTTACTATACCGGTATAACGTTCATAAAACACAATGTTACATATTCTTCTTATCTCACTTCTTCCTACCGCCTCTTTCTTTTGGTAGCAAGTTGATAACATTACCCGAAGTTAAATTATAATATGCGAGAGTATTGCTATCTTTGAAGAACATTCCCTGAAAAAAGAAGATCATGCGTCAGAGTTTGAAACTTATTGCAATCGTGTGAGAAATATTCACTATTAGCAGATTATTAAAATTATTATGTAAATTGTATAAATTATTAGATCGTTACCTCATACTGCAGTTTTTGCTTGCCAGGCGGCATGCCAGTTTGCTCATGGATCAGCGCCTTCATGGTCGACACGGTGTCGCTCAGTTGCAAGTTGATATTCAACGTTTGTCCGTTCAGTTTCCATTCAGCTTTCTCCGTCATCATAGGCACCGCAATGTTAATTTGTATGGGACCCTGCAAAAAAGAAACATTTTCAAGGATTCGGTTCGCATTCCTCGATAAGTGCCTCGAAAGAAAGATATAATCAGCTGATATATAAAGTATTAATTTCATATACAAATCATAATTTTATAAGTAAATCACATTGAGATGGAAGTTCATTGTTTACCTTGTTTCTGGCGAGGAATTGTTGTTCTGGAATCAACGAGTCCTCCGTTCTCAGTTTTTTAGCTTGCGGCTCTTCCTCCATCGGTTTAGAGGGATGTTTTAATCCAAGCTTCGAATAAGAGAAAAGCGAGATAAAATAAATCTTAAGATATAATGAGTTATATAACGCATGAAATACCGTGATAAGTGCAAACAGTGCTATTACATTTAACAATTACAAAACAATTACTTACAGCGGGTCCCATCGGTGGTTGTATCGGAGGTGGCGTTGGCATAAACGGTGACATCGCCGGAGCTGCGATAAATCGTACGATGACGAGTTTGTTAAAATCACAAAAAATGATTTGAATTGTGAAGCAACATGAATATGACATCCGTCAATCATGAAGCGGATTTATCTTTTAGATGAATTTTTTTATAGCGAATATTAACTCATAATATTCGTTATATCTTTGTCGACAGTATTTGGGTGTAAAAAGAGAAATTGAGCGTATCTAAGAGCACACACATGTGTCGGTATCTCTGAAGAGGTCAATGTAAAAACATGGTAATGAAAGACATTTCTCGAGATATACGTACTCATCAAAGGTGGTGGTCGAGGCGCCATCGGCGGCATAGGCGCCATCATCATCATCGGCGGTTGCGGCATCATCGGCTGAGGTATCCCCATAGTGGGCATGCTCATGGTCGGCGGTGGAGGTGGTTGAGCAGGAATTTGAGCGGGCATAGGCTTCGGTGCCGGAGGTTTCGGTGGAGCTTTAAGTGTGGCTTGTGGTTTCGAGGCAGCGGCTGCCATGTGAGAAAGCTCGGTTGCGCGGTTCACAGGCTTCGGGCCGATCTTCTCCTTCTCCTCGTCGGGCAACAGACCCTTGACCTTGTGTATCTGATGAATCTGCTCCTCCAGAGTGATGTTGGCGCGCGCGGCCCTCGTAGCAGCTTCGACACTTGAAGTGTGGCCGTCCCATGTGACTTTGTCATCCTTCTTCTTATCTTCCTCGCCGATCTTTTTGCCGATCGCCGTCTCCTCGTCGCCGACACCGAATATATCGGTACGCCTCTCGGCGAGCTGCTTGAGACTGGCTTCGATCGCTGTACCCGGCGCGAACACGGTCTCTTGCGCCAGCTTGTCCAGGTGCTTGTCTCGCTGCTCGACCCAGCGCGGATCCAGCAGTCCGATGCGCATGTGCTCCTGCACCTTGCTGGCGGGTATACGCTCACCGGTGATCGGCGAGATTAAGAACTCATCCGGAGGAGCGGGACGAGCAGTTTTAACAGCTGTAAACGTATCAAATACAAAATCAGTCAACGTCTTCCTCTTTTTTCTTTTCTTTCTTATTACAACATTCGATTTCACATTGTATATTATATGCTATAGGTCTGATAGATAGATATCCACTAAAGGGAAACATTTTCTCGTGAGCGAATGAAATGGAATAAAAATAAAATATAAAATCTTGTAGTAAACGATACTGAAATTGATCGTAGTGTACACACCGTGTTGTTTCGGATCGTATCCCTTCTTGACCACCACGTTTCCTGGAGTAGGCGGTAACGGAGGAGGTTGCATGTTGGTATCGCGTGGCTTAGGTTCTTTAGATTTGTGGATGTCACCCGGCGGCGACACTTCGTCTTCGTCGCTGGAATCTTCCTCCATATCTTGTACCTAAAATATTCATTAAAACAATGTAACTGGTATCGATGAAACAATGTTACTTTATGATACGAATTAAATTAAAAAAAGAAAAAAGAACTATTTTTACCTGATTGTTATCTTTCGCACGATCCTTCTCCCCTTCTGTACGTATCGGCATTTCCTCTTCTCCGTCACTGTCGATCTGCATCTCCACGTCTTCACCGTCCTCTATACGTTCCTATAAATTAAAAATTGAATGTTAATAATGTTGTCCAATATATTTTACGAACTAATTAACGAAATGAAACTTCTAACAACGCAAAGTCGTCGTATCATACCTGCATGAGAACACGAGCACCGACTTCATCCGGTGTTGTTGGAGCTGGGAAATTGCCGACTTCGAATTGTTGATAATCTACAGTCTCAACGACGACGAAATCGTGCCAGTCGATTTGCGCATAAGCGACTCTCTCCCTTTCCAACTCCTCTTCCTCCTTACGTCTCTGTGCCTCTTGATATTTCAAATATTCGGCACGATATTTCACCTGCTCCAAAATCTTGTCCATATTAAATGATTCATCTCGCAGACGTGGCAATAAATCCTTCGGTGGAATCAATACCTAAAAATAACATTAATGATTTTTACTTGACAAATAATAAGTTTTCAATCAATTGAAATAATGGATCAATGAAAGCCAAAAGTCGTGGTGCGTAATTTTTAAATTATTTTTCTGTCCAAAAGAAGCTAATTATTTGTATACTTTGGTATATTGCTCCAATAATTTAGTAAAATATTGAAATAAGGAATGTTGTGGGCGTAAGAAATCAAACTGGAAATTCCTTTGTTCACGATTCATCAGGTTAGTAAGAAATTGCCTTCCATTACGAGCTACAAACTGAGCGGTTAACTTCACGATGTCTCTGAAAGAAAGATATAATCAGCTGATATATAAAGTATTAATTTCATATACAAATCACAATTTTATAAGTAAATCACATACAAATCTAAAGCTGAGATTGAAGGAGGATCTGCTATGAATTCAAATTCTGCTGGTGGATCTTTAGGTACAAACGGCTGTTCAACTTGTTTCAAGATCTCTTGCTGCTTTTGATGTGCAGTAAGATTAACAGTTTTTCCAGGACCTGAACCTGTTGTAGGTTCTTGACCTTTACCTTCCTTAGATTCCTTCACTTTATGCTCATAGTAGGCATGATAGGGATCGCCGAAGTTCAAGAAATTAAACTTGGGATTGCCCAATTCATTCTGTCTGATCCGGGATTCAAACTCTGGCCCATTTCTGGCCACGAAGCTAGCAGTTTTGTCAACGATATCTGAATTTCTATATAAGGAAGAACAATGCAAACAATTATCATGTATCAAACAATTTGTACTAACACAGAAAAGATATGACATGTAAATAACCAATTTTTTTCTCCTTTTGTAAACATAAAACAGTTAAATTCAAGTAATTAACTGTAAGTATAAGTGAGAAGGTACACTTCCTCAGGATTATGGAGACATATTAAAAGCAAAATTTGGACACAGTATCATGTCAGAAGCTCTCCGTGTGATCCCACAGGGCTGGGTGATCTTACACATGAAAATATGTAGCATATCTAGTACTGTATTTTGCCCAGCTCTGTAAGGAAAATATGTTAGTTTTCTTTCGAACGAAGACGTGAAAATTCATCGTTGGCAAAGGATACTCCTAACCTCTGGAGGCGGATAAATGATGCCCACGATCGGCTGCGACGAAGGAACATTCTCCTCGCCCTCGGTCGCCGGCGGTTGCGGCACCGCTACTTCTTGTGCAGGCATTTCCTCGTAGCCAATATATTTACACACTTATCACAATGATAAAGTTGTTTTTACATTTTTAGAGAAGAGACAAATATCACACAAATCTATAGCGCCTGCACGCAGGACGCGGTAACGCTTGTTACGCGGCGGAAGTCGGCAGCCAATAAACTTCTAGTTCTTACGGAAAAACGGCACGTTGATTGGCTACCGGACAAACTTCCGCCACACGGCAAAAATCGACGCGGGAGCTAATAAAATTTTAGTTCTTATGGACGAACGGTACGTTGATTGGCTACCGTGTCGCTCCTTTCCGCAAACATTTTAGAACGCAGCCCGGATTGAGTAGCATTTGATTGACTAATCAGGACTAAAAGAGCAAAGATTTTTTTATTATAATTGATTAGTTCAATGTTACTCTACACGTCGAATAGGGTTTTGAAACGCAGCCCTGTACTGTGTGCAGTAAAGCTGGAAGATATAATGACGACTGACTTGCTGTTGAGAGTCATACTACTTGCTCGATTTTTCACCATGGATAGTGGCGGCTCGTAGCGGAGACTTTGGAACTACATTTTAGAATAATTAGCTAATGCCTGTTCCTTCCGACGTTTTTCATTATATCTTAACTTGAATTTAAACTTTTTTTAGATGACGATTTAAATTCAGGTTAAGGTTTAATCGATGTTAATACAAACAGATTAATAGTTAAACAAACAGTTAATACATAAGAATTCCAGGTTTGACTAAAATGACCCGTTAAGTTAGACCCGTTATTGTTTATTAGTTCCAAGAATTTCCGCTATGAGCCGCTACTGATTTTGACGAAAAATCGAGGCTGCAGTATAATTCATCAACAAGTTCACCGTCTATTTTATTTTTCTTTCCAATAAAAAGGAACATTTTTCGTGATAGACAACAGTGATCTTTTAATCTGTATACATCGAGAAACGATAATTAATAAATTATAGGAAACTAATAATCAATAAATTAATAATAGAAGAATGATGACGTAAGTCATTTTTAGTCATTTAATTAAAATATTTTTCTGTTTTGTGTATGATGAAATATTAATTTTACAATTTAAAATTATTCTGTGATATTTTGCTGGTATATATGTAGACAGGATGTATGTAGACAAATAGAAATACATTACATATTTTTACGAGGTTGCAGATACATTTTCGTGATTATATATACATATTTCACACAAAACTTTCCAACAGAAAGTTATTTAAAAATGAATTTGTTCAGTTTTAACTTTATCTTTTTGAATTCTGCAAGATCGCAGATTATTTTCTGTTGATTCAGTATCATACCTTGAGGTTAATTAATTATTAACTGTTATAAGTAATTATATCGCAAGTGAGATATATATAAACGGAAGATTCTACGCTCAAACTTTCGTTTAGAATATCGCATTGCTACTTGTCGTACTCGTATGATTAATCGTATATTTATCAGGAAGTTCAGAAATATTTTTCGAACGGAAACAATTGCGAGCCAATCGTGCGACGTCGCGAAGAAGCGTAAAGTTGCCGCGCATAGTTTAAACTTTTAGTAACTCAAGCAAATGTAGTGGCGTCTAACATACTCGCGCGCGTCGTTGGGCGGTCGTCGTGCTCTGCGTTATTTCATCGCGTTGATCGCGTTGCGAGTGTAAAAACGTCTCGTTTATGTCGTACGACGACGACGTCGTGTCGGGCGATCGTCATGTCGCGTTAAGTAGCGTGCAGGGTCATGATTATCCGTGGTTCACCCGCCGTATCCGTGCTAGCTGTCTCCGAGATGACGGGGCGATCGGCGAGAAGCAATGGCTTCGCATCGTCCGGTGAGCAACCGATCGCATCCCAAACAGCACAATGTCCAAAATATGGACATAAGACGTCTTTAAGACATCTTTAAGATATCTTATGGTCTTATACAGCATAGACGTCCTAACGATGTCCTGAGGGCGTCCGTACATCCTAAGGACTCCCACAGAACATCCCCGGATAAAGGTGCTGTATGGGCTCTAATTTTGAATATTGTATTGTCTGAGATTTATCGATCGTAATCTTGTAAATACTCGATCGTCGTCGTCGTGTCTCTCCACTCCCTCCCTTCCTCTCTCTCTCTCTCAGCTGAATATGTTACAAGAGAGATGAGGATATCTCAATCGCAGGTGCTTATCGCATGATACTCGCTACTTTGGGAGCACGACCAATGGCGTCGAGCGCGTTTTATCGCGTCAGTAATGTCGAAAGTCCAACTCGACCGAATGACACCCCTCCGTACTTGATTCTCCCTTCTCCCTTCCCTCGTCCGAGTCAAAGGGATATCCGGAGCATCCGGAACACCATGTATACGACGAACGGACAGCGATGAGAGCGAAAATCCGAAACAAATAGCTGCATTCAGAGCTACACGCATAGTATGCGCACGGGCGTTCGTGTCTGATTTTTCTCTCTCCCTTTTGCAGGTCGTTCCACGGATTCGTGTCATTTCTCACACGACGGCGGCGGCGTATCCCTCTCCCTAAATGATGCTCGCGTGCTGCATCAGCGGGATCTATCGCGCGCACGGCCATGAGATACTACCACTACCAGCACACAACACACAGGGAGAACACACGACGTTCGCACGCGTTTCCATACATGGCGGGCGAAAAAAAGGGGGGCCGGGCGCGTTTCGCCGCTATCTTCCCCGGCTGCGTATCCGTGAATTTATTGCTGCGGCGGACGACGGATCCGATCCCTGCACGCTCACGGAGAGATTCGCCGGCGGAGAATCCCCTTCGGGATAGCGCCTTGTCCGTCAATTCCTCGCTCTGCGGCAGAGACATTCGGCGCTTCGCATCGATTACCTTCGGCCGTCCTTCTCCGGAGGCTGCCTCGTGAAGCGCGCGATCCCGCTCCGTGCTTTCCTGCCTCAATGTGAGTTAAAACTCCTTCGATTCATTGCGCCGCGTTCTCTCGCCGTAAAAGGCGGACGAGACGATACTTTACCCTTTCAGCGTCGAATGAATTCCGAGAATCCAGCGTGAATTTTATTATATTTTTGGTACACACTTCCCGTCCAATCTTCTATGAAGATAATCTATGAAGGTAAAACTTGTTTACACGAAGTTCTATCTATGAAGATAACATTTGTTTACACGAAGTTGACAAGAAATTCTCTATATAGTTCCACTGAAAATATAATATTTTCTTGTTATTCAAGAATAATTTTTATGAATTGAGAGGAAAAAAGTATTGGAAATAAGAATTGTGTCAATTTGGAGATATCGTTCTTTCTATCCAATACTTCTTCCTCTCATAAAAATGATTATTATTGAATAATATGATATTTTTTAGTGGAACTATATATAATTTCAACGTATCTTGTATTAAATAGGAAAATGGTGTTTAAGCGGAGATAGAAGCGGCTCTTTCAAAGTTTTCAGACTATTGACATAGTATTTTTGACTTCCTTAATTTTTAGGTACAAATTTGAAAATTGCGTCTCCTGAGAATTACTTAAGCGCAAATTCTCCTATTGGACACGGAATGCGTCACGAAGCTCGTCGATGAAAAATATTGCATTCTTTAATCATCCGACTCTCCACTGGTCGTCCGAAAACTCCTCAAAAACCTCAAAAGTTTTCGTCCGCGAGTTTACGTGGCCACAATCTCGCAGGAGAAACTTACGAAAAACGTCCGATCGTCAATGTCAGCGAGACATCGTTGATGTCCACGGATATTTTGTATCTAATAATACGTCCCAAAGAGCCGCCATAAATTCGCCAGCACATTCTTAATTACGTTCTCGCACCGACCCTCATTAAGTATGTATCAATTATCGGGTGGCATGATCGAAGCCTCTCTCCAGCACGGCGCGAAAAGATGATAGGTTCCGGGGACGCTTAAGAAAGAGAAGAGCGTCTTGTTCTCGTTGCAGCACGAGCGTGCGCGCGCCTTATCCGCCCTCGTTACCGACCCTCGTTTATCGCAAACGAAGCGATGTCCGGACGTCATTTAGCTTCAGTCTCGATCGCCACTTCCCGGTGCGCGTTCCCCAAAAATAATTGTATCGGTTTCGGCGCCCGCTCGAACATAATTTACGGCCGATCGAATCGACTGTTGCCCTTTTTGCCACTCCGTTCCGGGCGAAAAAAGGGGGGGGGGGGGGGGGGGGGAGGACGATCGATTAAAGAATCGAAGAGCGTACACTTTCTCCGATCGAAGTTCGACGGAAGGGACAAGAGAGGAGGGAGACATAAAAATGGAGACACGTCCGCGAGTCGGACTACCGTAAAAGCCGGAACTCGATCCCGCGGGAGGGGGAGAATCGCGTACGTCGCAGAAAAAAGGGAAAGAAAAAGGAAAAGAACGGTGTGATAAAGTGCGGGCAGAAAAAGGGCGCCGATGGCCGGACGCAGGTCTAACGGCGGGGCAGGGGGCCCGACGGAGCGTCGTAGAATACGGTCTCGCGCGAGTTTCTTACCGCGCTCGATGGGACAGAGGATCCGCCGTGCAAAAAAGGACCGCCCCGGTGCCGTGCGCGCGGAATCGGCAATTATATCGCAAAAAAGGAGCGGCGAGCGTGCGGGACAAACTGCTTCCTGGCCCGTAAACAATGCCGCCAAATAAGTCGCCGAGTATAAATCTCTCGGGCCAGACCAGGCCGTGCTATCTCTCTCTCTCTCTTTTTCTCGCAAACGCGCGCGTACGCACACACGGGGACCTCCTCCGCACGATAAAAAGCCAATCGACCGCTAAACTCTTTATTCCGTTCGTATCCGCGACGAGCGAGCGGACGCGCGGATTTACGAGTCCGGCTGGTCCGCTCGCCGACATATCGCGATGTAAAGTTTCTTGCCGGCATCGAGATCGACGCTCGTCGATATGGAAGCTGTCGTCGGAGCTGACGGTACATTGCGATCGGCTCAAGACGTTTTGACTGGCGTTTCTTGCGGAAATATGAATCTCGTGGGCCGCAGACGCGCGATGAGCTCGTCCTGAATAGAAGGAAATTTATCAATTTTCGCTTCCGAGATAGCTATAACGGTTAAAATACGATATTTTGAACGTCCACGTGGTACGCGTTCGCTAATTTATATAATCTGTACATCTTGATCGACTTTCTTCCCTCCGCCTTCCCTCTCTTCCTCTTTAA